TGGGATTCTTTTAAACAAAAAAGTTTTATTTCTTAAAGTACTGCTAGTGTTTTAGAAACTATTCCTTGTCTATTATGAAACTGACCTGAATAGATATGACCCTCTATTAAATAATAAATAAATGTCTTCTAAGCAAATTAGCAGACATAAATAGTGTTTTCTTCTGTTATTATGGTCAGCTATATGTCTTTTTTTTTTTACTATTTGTGCTAAAAGTGGGATTCAGTCATGCTTGTGTTAGTATAGGATTTCTCACAGGGGTTATAACCAGGTAAATTGTTTTTCCATCCATTCTTCAGCCCATCATTTGCATCTGCCTTCGTTTCAAAGTCAATTTTCACTTCATCCTGAGAATAAATTTTTTAAAAAACCATTAAATGAAGCAAGTGGTTACATCCAAATCTACTGCCACAACCCTAAATGGCCAGGAGTGAAACATGCATTTCTTAGTTATATACTGAAATAATAGTAATCTGAACCTAACCATCTGCCCATCATCCCTGTTTCAGAAATGAAGCTCTGATAATTCTACCAGCTTGTTCACTTGATTCCTGATATTTTACTGTAATTTAAGCTTATTCAATGAGAATTCAACCTTATTATGGTAAAAATCATTCTGTTGTAACTTGGCTAAAATAAAGACATTATCAGCCTGATCCATAGGGTTCTTAGCATAATCCAGCATATGTTCTTTAACCAAATTGTCCAACTATTGCTACAAAATATTTTTTCTTGCATCCTCCTGGAGATGTAAGAAATAATCTCTCACACCACTTAGAAACATCCTATGCCATCTATAGAGTGGCTGACCACAATTAACTTCAAAAATGCATCACATAGTAGAACATCATACATCTATAAGCAACCATAATCCACCATGAAAAGAAGCAAATATAAAAATTAATTTGAGGAAAAGAGTATTTGATTATTACACCCCATTGTTTTTATTATATAATCCAATAAATACAAAATTTATTGCATTTATTGTATGTTGTAGAGAAACAGTAGGAAATGAAATTTAAGCTTATTTTTAAGACAAGCAAGATTTGGTGGAACCCATTCCATTCTTTTAGAAAATCTAAGGATTGATGCATCATATTGTATATATTTCAGAACCATTGTCTTTTCTACAGAATCATACTTTTATGGATTATGTAGAAATAATAAAACTAAATAATATAAGGTATTTTGAATTAGCTTATTTAAAGGAAGATACAGAGATCATCCTTGAAGGGAAAGAGCTGAAATCAAAAATCTCCAACATAAATTTAGAAAGGTGTCATGCTTTCCTAAGATTCAAGAAAATAAAAGGGAATAGTCTTAAAATACATTCAAGACACACTCAGAAAGGCTGTAAAATTCAAGAATCCAAATATCTCTCCTTTCCCATGCCAATCTTGGAACTGTAGAAATTTAATTCAGTCTAACTGGAAGTGTTTTCAATGCTCTCATTGTTCAGAATTTAAAATGTGCTGGAATATTATCTGAATTTATCTTTAAGGAATTTGGCTTTGAAACAGTAAAACAGAGAAGTATTAACTTATGGTGAAAGCAGTGTTTCTCAACCTGGGCTACTTAAAGATGTATGGACTTCGACTCCCAGAATTCCATAGCTAGCTATAGTGGTTGTGCTAGCTGTGGAATTCTGGGAGTTGAAGTCCACACATCTTCAAGTGGCCGAGGTTGAGAAACATTGCCATAAGGTATTCAGAATTAGGGATGCTTGAAGAATTTGGCATTATCAAATTCTTCTAACATAACCTTCTGAACAAAATAAATAGACTGGATGATTCATCAGTATTCTCACTTGCCCAAGTCTATTAGTGCTATTCACAACTCAAAACAACATGCATTTTTAATTAATTAGAATTATATATATATTTGAGGTAAAAATCTATTTAGTATTCTGACATATAGATTTTAGGACAACTTCTTAGGAACCATAAGATTTTTTGAAGCCCCATCCTTAGTGAAAGTGTCTTCATGAAAAGGTGATGAAAAATGAGGCAGGATAGAGTATCAAGATATGGGATGGAGTCTATCAGGCTCAACCCCATCCATTACTCTGATATGTCAAATGAATAATACAATAATCTTACATGAAGTTCTTTTCTGTTATGATCCACTCCACACCAGCAAAATGTCTTGTATTTAGGAGACCAGAAGCAAAATATATTACAGATTGGGCGAATTAATAGTGGTTTAATATCTTTCCCTTTATTTGGACCTGGATAGAACAAAAAAAGGATAGATAAATCATTAATCATCTATCAAAAAAGCAAATATGTTTTATTTTCTAATTGTCAACGCTGCAAATACTGTATATTCTTGCTTTGACAATGTGCAGAAGTGTCTGGTATATATATAGTTAAACCAGCAACTAGGAGAGAGGGAGGAGCATAGGGATAGCCCGGGAGAAAGAAACCGGAAGTAAATCACATCTTTCAAGTTGATTGGAAGATGTGAACCATGACCCTACAATAAGGGAGTGGACAATGTCTGGAATGCTAGGCGTACCGGAAGATAAGCAGTTCTAAGCATTCCTCCATNTGGGATTCTTTTAAACAAAAAAGTTTTATTTCTTAAAGTACTGCTAGTGTTTTAGAAACTATTCCTTGTCTATTATGAAACTGACCTGAATAGATATGACCCTCTATTAAATAATAAATAAATGTCTTCTAAGCAAATTAGCAGACATAAATAGTGTTTTCTTCTGTTATTATGGTCAGCTATATGTCTTTTTTTTTTTTACTATTTGTGCTAAAAGTGGGATTCAGTCATGCTTGTGTTAGTATAGGATTTCTCACAGGGGTTATAACCAGGTAAATTGTTTTTCCATCCATTCTTCAGCCCATCATTTGCATCTGCCTTCGTTTCAAAGTCAATTTTCACTTCATCCTGAGAATAAATTTTTAAAAAACCATTAAATGAAGCAAGTGGTTACATCCAAATCTACTGCCACAACCCTAAATGGCCAGGAGTGAAACATGCATTTCTTAGTTATATACTGAAATAATAGTAATCTGAACCTAACCATCTGCCCATCATCCCTGTTTCAGAAATGAAGCTCTGATAATTCTACCAGCTTGTTCACTTGATTCCTGATATTTTACTGTAATTTAAGCTTATTCAATGAGAATTCAACCTTATTATGGTAAAAATAATTCTGCTGTAACTTGGCTAAAATAAAGACATTATCAGCCTGATCCATAGGGTTCTTAGCATAATCCAGCATATGTTCTTTAACCAAATTGTCCAACTATTGCTACAAAATATTTTTTCTTGCATCCTCCTGGAGATGTAAGAAATAATCTCTCACACCACTTAGAAACATCCTATGCCATCTATAGAGTGGCTGACCACAATTAACTTCAAAAATGCATCACATAGTAGAACATCATACATCTATAAGCAACCATAATCCATCATGAAAAGAAGCAAATATAAAAATTAATTTGGGGAAAAGAGTATTTGATTATTACATCCCATTGTTTTTATTATATAATCCAATAAATACAAAACTTATTGCATTTATTGTATGTTGTAGAGAAACAGTAGGAAATGAAATTTAAGCTTATTTTTAAGACAAGCAAGATTTGGTGGAACTCATTCCATTCTTTTAGAAAATCTAAGGATTGATGCATCATATTGTATATACTTCAGAAGCATTGTCTTTTCTACAGAATCATACTTTTATGGATTATGTAGAAATAATAAAACTAAATAATATAAGGTATTTTGAATTAGCTTATTTAAAGGAAGATACAGAGATCATCCTTGAAGGGAAAGATCTGAAATCAAAAATCTCCAACATAAATTTAGAAAGGTGTCATGCTTTCCTAAGATTCAAGAAAATAAAAGGGAATAGTCTTAAAATACATTCAAGACACACTCAGAAAGGCTGTAAAATTCAAGAATCCAAATATCTCTCCTTTCCCATGCCAATCTTGGAACTGTAGAAATTTAATTCAGTCTAACTGGAAGTGTTTTCAATGCTCTCATTGTTCAGAATTTAAAATGTGCTGGAATATTATCTGAATTTATCTTTAAGGAATTTGGCTTTGAAACAGTAAAACAGAGAAGTATTAACTTATGGTGAAAGCAGTGTTTCTCAACCTGGGCTACTCAAAGATGTTAGTCATGGGGGATTTCAATCTGCCATCATTAGGTGAAGCATCTGAGGTGGCTCGGGAGTTCATGGCCTCCATGACGGCCATGGACCTGACCCAATTAGTAGATGTCCCTACCCACACCGGAGGACACACACTGGACTTAGTTTTTGCCTCCGGCCAGTGGTTGAGTGATCGTAGTTTAGGGGAAATAGTTGTTGAGCCCCTGTCATGGTCAGATCACTCTCTCCTTCGGCTGGCCTTTCCTACCGCTATGCCCCACCGTGGGGAGGCGGAACCAGAAGTGACGAAATGGTTCCGCCCCAGGCGCCTGATGGACCCTGAGAGGTTCCAGATGGAGCTTGGGCCAATACCTGAGACCTTGACCCACGGCTCAACTGAGGACCTGGTGGCTGCCTGGAATGGTGCGGCCGCGGGGGCCCTGGACCGGGTCGTGCCTTTGCAGCCCCTCACCCGATGCCAGTCTACCTTGGCTCCTTGGTTCTCCGAGGAGCTGAGGGTGATGAAGCGTCGGAAGAGATGCCTAGAGAGTAATTGGAGGGCCACCCGCTCCGAATCCGATCGGAAATTGGTAAAGTCCCATTTAAGGACTTACCTAGTAGTGATAAGAGCGGCGAAACGAAACTATTTCTCCACTCTTATCACGTCTGCAGGTAACCGATCTGCCGCCCTGTTTAGGGTGTCCCGTTCCCTCCTTCATCAGAGGGTCCGGGATGTCCCTTTGCAGGGTCGGGCAGAGGAATTTGGGTGTTACCTGCATGACAAAATCGATCGGATCCGGGCCGGGTTAGCCTCTGATTGGACTAGTTCAGGCGGGCCAATGGAGGCAGGTCTTGAGTCCATTTTGTGGGAAGAGTTTGATCCTGTGACCCCTGAGGACATGGACAGGATGTTGGGACGGCTGAACACCACCACATGTTTACTGGACCCGTGTCCCTCCTGGTTGGTACTGGCCTCCCGGGAGGTTACACGAGGCTGGCTCCAGGGAATCGTCAATGCTTCTTTGAGTGAGGGGTTCTTGCCGGCCGCCTTGAAAGAGGCGGTGGTGAGGCCCCTCCTCAAGAAGCCCTCCCTGGTCCCGGCTGTTTTGGCCAACTACCGTCCTGTCTCCAACCTTCGCTTTCTTGCGAAGGTTGTTGAGAGTGTGGTGGCACGACAGCTCCCTCAGCACCTGGAAGAAACTGTCTATCTAGACTCGCACCAGTCCGGCTTCCGGCCTGGGCACAGCACGGAAACGGCATTGGTCGCATTGGTTGATGATCTCTGGAGGGCTCGGGATAGAGGCTGCTCCTCTATCCTGGTCCTGTTAGATCTCTCAGCGGCTTTCGATACCATCGACCATGGTATCTTGTTGCACCGGTTAGAGGGGTTGGGTTTGGGGGGCACCGTCTTACGGTGGTTCTCCTACCTCTTGGACCGGTCGCAATTTGTGTTGGCAGGGGGGCAGAGGTCGACCTCGAGGTGCCTCACTTGTGGGGTACCACAGGGGTCGGTTTTCTCGCCTCTCCTGTTCAACATTTATATGAAGCCACTGGGTGAGATCATCCATGGTTTCGGGGTGGAGTTTCATCAGTACGCAGATGACACCCAGCTGTACATCTCCACCCCGGACCACCCCAACGATGCCGCGGAAGTGATGTCCCGGTGCCTGGAGGCTGTGCGAGTCTGGATGGGGAGGAACAGGCTTCGACTCAACCCGTCCAAGACCGAGTGGCTGTGGTTTCCGGCGTCACGTCATAGCCAGTTGGTTCCATCTCTGGCTATCGGGGGCGAGTCATTAGCTCCTGCAGAGAGGGCCCGCAACCTGGGCGTCCTCCTGGATGCTCGGCTGTCTTTAGACGATCATGTGACAGCCGTGGCCAGGGGGGCTTTTCATCAGGTTCGCCTGATACGCCAGTTGCGCCCCTTTCTGGATTGTGACACTCTACGCACGGTCACTCAAGCCCTCGTTGTTTCCCGCATGGACTATTGCAACACTCTCTACATGGGGCTCCCCTTGAGGTGCACCTGGAGGCTCCAGCTAGTTCAGAATGCGGCCGCGCGGGGGATCCTGGGGGCCTCTAGATACTCCCATGTAACACCTCTCCTGCGCGAGCTGCACTGGCTGCCTGTGGCCTTCCGGGTGCGCTTCAAGGTGTTAGTAACAACCTTTAAAGTGCT